TGCAAAAAATTCGATATGTGGATTCAATCCCGAGATATTCATGAATAAAAATGCACTCATCCCAGTTTGTGACTTCGTTATTGAAATAATGAAATGATGATTCAATGATATATAAAATAATTATAAATTATTCATATATTATAATATGATTGTACAATAATGATGAATTATTGTACTTTTGCAGGTGTTTATCGGTTGGAAAAGCCAGAAATCTACATAGACTTGAATGACATCAGTGATCTGCGCAGAGTCGAAAAAACCGCGGAGAATCTAATTTTCGGTGGCAATGTTACCCTGTCGACAGTGAAAAATACATTCATTGAATTCTGCGAGGAGTCTGGCTTCCATCATCTTCGTCAAATGGCAGATCACGTGGATCTCATTGCCAGTGTACCAGTGCGCAATGTGAGTATATGAAATGATTAATCAAAATTGAAGTCCTGGTATTCAAAATGAAGTGGAGCTAGTTATGTTACATAAAAATTTTATGAATACTCTGAAGTTCCGGAAGTCAAGAATAACAGATACCTCATAATTCTGAGAAACTTCAACTTCAATCGCTCATACAAAGTATAAACTAGAGTTGCATTACATTTTCAGTTATGTAAGGAATAATATATTAGTGACGTATAGAATTGATGGATTAGATGTCAGGATTGAATCCCAAAGGAATTATTAGTCCTGATTTGAATTTTATGATAATTATAATTTCAGACAGGTACCATTGCTGGGAATCTGATGATAAAACACCAACACAAGGAGTTCCCTTCGGATCTCTTCCTCATATTCGAAACAGCTGGCGCGGAAATACACATTCGTAATAATTTTATAATAATTTAATTTATTATATTTAAGGACCGGTTGGATTATCTGGAAAAGATAATTTACTCAAAAATTGGGATTCCCAATTACTCTGGCAATTAATCGTTTTTTTTTCAATAATTGTTAGCTAGCGTTCCAGTGGTTGTCAACGACTAGAACGCTAGCTAACAATTATCGGAAAAAACAATTAATTGGCGGAGTAATTAGGAATTCCAATTTTAAAGTAAATTATCTTTCCGAGATGCTCCATCCGGCCCTTATACATTTGATTGAAAGCTCGGCTGGATTATCTAGAAAAAATAATTTACTCCGAAATTCGGATTCCTAATTACTTTGGCAATTAATCGTTTTTTTCAATAATTGTTAGCTAGCGTTCTAGCGGTTGTCAACAACTAGGCCGCTAGCTAACAATTATCGGAAAAAACGATTAAATGACGGAGTAATTAGAAGTCCCAATTTTGGAGTAAATTATCTTTTCCAGACAGTCCATCCGGGCCTTAATTAATTCTGAATAGAACTGCATGATGGATATTTTAACGATTTCGGTGAGACTGAATTCTGTTTTTTTATAATTTTTCACAGTTGAATCACCCGGACAGAAGCGAGTTGTTAACTTCATGGACTTTCTCAATACCGATATGAATCATAAAATCATCTACAGCGTATTGCTCCCAGCACTGAGTGCCGATCATATTTACAGATCGTACAAGGTACGTCAATTAAATTAGAGCAGATGAAAAACCGATTTTCGCTGAATTAGATTTCCAAACAATAACTTATTAATATAATCAACAGATAATGCCAAGAGCCCAGAATGCACATGCCCTCGTGAATGCTGGATTTCTCTTCAAGTTGGATGCAGCTGGAATGGTGCTGGAAAAGCCTAACATAATTCTTGGTGGAGTCAGACCTGATTTTGTGGGTTTATAAGTCATCAACGATTTTTAAATGATTTATTAATTATCCCATTCAATGTTCATTCTGAAGAACAAGATGAATAGGAAAGAAATTATGCAAGTGAACAGTTGATTATTTCAGAAAGCATTGATTAATTATCATTTACAGCTGCACGCTAATAAAACCGAAGATTACCTCACCGGTAAATCCGTATTAGACAAGAATATTTTCAAGGAAGCCATAGAAATCTTCACTTCGGAAGTCATTCCTGATCATGTTCTACCGGATTATTCTCCAGAGTTCAGGATGACTCTTGCGCAGGGATTGTTCTACAAGGTGAGACCCCATCACCAATAAATCATTTAATTCTCACCATTACATATGGATTATGTAGAAATATCGAAAAAAATCTTAAGGCCCGGATGGACTGTCTGGAAAAGATAATTTACTCCAAAATTGGGACTTCTAATTACTCCGTCAATTAATCGTTTTTTTCCGATAATTGTTAGCTAGCGGCCTAGTTGTTGATAACCGCTAGAACGCTAGCTAACAATTATTGAAAAAAACGATTAACTGCAAAAGTAATTAGGAATCCGAATTTCGGAGTAAATTATCTTTTCTAGATAATCCACCCGAGCCTTAAAGTCAAATGGAATTGTCTGACAGAACATTTCACCACTGCATCTACTTAAGAACAGGAAAGAATAACAGGAAAGCAGTAGGTGATAAAAAAAACATGTCTTTCTGATTTCAGTTTGTCCTGAGCCTGAGGCCCGAAAATATTGATGAGAAATTACGCAGCGGAGGTACAATGCTGAAGCGTGGGCTCTCATCAGGAAAATGCGATTATGAAACAGACGAGAGTCTCTGGCCGTACAACAAACCAATCCCTAAGATTGAATCAATCTATCAGACTTCCGGTGAGGCACAGTACGTCAACGACATTCCACCCCAACCGCATCAAGTATTTTGTGCATTTGTAGTAAGTCAAGTCCACAGTGGCACCATCGCCAGCATCGACACCACTGCAGCACTGGTAATCAATTCCTTCTCCAAAAACAATCATCAATCATTCTAATTACTCAATCACTCAACAAGTATTTATTATCAACAGGAAATTGAAGGTGTTGTAGCATTTCTATCAGCAAAAGATATACCAGGAAAAAATCGCAGTATTGATTCAGCAAATCAGTCTTTCATAGCCCCAAATGACGAATTGGTGATTGACACTTCTTCTTCTGTCATTCAAACTAGATTTTATCATGACAATATTTCTGATTTTCAGCTTCTGGTTGAAGACGTTGTGACCTCCGTTGGTCAACCAATCGGTATAATTTGTGCTGATACTCAGCTTCTCGCTCATGAAGCTGCGCAAAAGGTCAAAGTCCATTACACAGATGTACCTAATGAAAAGCCGATCCTGACAAATCAAGATGCCATTGATCGTGGTGATAAGGAGAGGATCAAAGAATGCGTTAATATTCCGGCGACGAGAAAAGGTTCTTCATCTATATCACTGTTCCTTCTCCATGAAATAATCTCGAGCTGAAGCCACTGAATTCATTAATCTGCCGAGTGATCTGTGTCTTTATCAGGTGATAGTCCCATTCACCAAGTAATCAAGGGAACATTCAATTGTGGAACTCAATATCACTTTACGATGGAGCCGCAATCCTGCGTCTGCATCCCAACGGAGGATGGCATTGATGTCTATCCAGCGACCCAATACATCGATCTAGTGCACCTATCGATAGCTTCCTGTCTGGCCATTCCAAATAATAAGTAATACATCATGAGATTCAGTAAACTACCGCACGATTTTTCCTTCATTTTTATCACTGCAGGTTCATCAAGGATAAACCGTTTTATATTACAAACAAAATCCATTTTCAAGAGAATTTTCAATCACTTTCAGCACATGATGTCTCTCGATAGAATAATGATATGTAGAAAAGAAGAAGTATCTCCTGTTCTTCTGTTATTCAGAATTAACGTACGTGTCAGACGACTGGGTGGATCCTACGGTGCAAAACTAGTAAGGAACATCTCCGTATGCTGTGCTTGTGCTGTTGCAGCACAGGTTCTGAACCGTCCGGCACGTTTCATCATGACCATCGAGAGTAACATGACAACAATAGGAAAAAGATTTCCAGTCAAGCATGATTACGAGATCGGTGTTGATGCCGATGGTGTTATCCAGTACTTGAATCAGAAAACATGGCACAATACTGGTTGCTCATTCAATGATCCCATTGCATTTCAGAGTGTGGCACATGCTTATTCGTGCTACGATAAATCGGTGTGGAATTCTGTAGCTCACGAGGTACGAACTGATATTCCATCAAATACGTATGCGAGAGCACCAGGTTGGTTATCAATTGACACAGCAGATCATTCTGATAAAATAATTTTCCATCTGTAACGCAAACATATGCATGGCTGCAGGTTCTACCGAAGGAATTGCAATGGCGGAAAATATGATGGAGCACATAGCTCACACACTGGGAAAGGATGCCTTGGACGTGCGTCTGAATAATATGTTGCCAGAGCACAAAACTGAGTTGAATAAAATGATAAATGATATCAAAGCAACATCGGACTACCACACACGCGTCGAAGCTGTCAATCTCTTCAATAAGGTACCACAATGATCCCTGGTTTCAAATTAATAATGGTTTATTGAAAAAATATGGGACGGAGGAAAAATTAATGTCAAACCAGAAAGAAAAAATCAAGAAGTGAGATTAACGGAATAGTAACCTTACAGGGAGAGTTTTGGGGGGAGAAAATAATTAGTAAAATATGGAATAGAGAATATGGAATGATGTATTTAATGAATGGAGAACTCGTATTGTTTGATTCCACAGGAGAATCGATGGAAGAAGCGAGGAATTAATTTAACAGCTATAATGTATCCACACGCAATGTACGGCCACTGGAATGCTCTTATGACAGTTTACCCAATGGATGGTACTGTAGCGATTCTTCATGGGGGAATTGATGTGGGTCAGGGAATCAACACTAAGGTTTGCAAACAATATCTCTGATCATGTCGTCACAATGCATTATTTTCAATTGATCAATTGAGTATACAACTGCAGATAACGCAAGTTGTTGCTTATACCCTGGGGATCGATGTCGACATGATTAATGTTAAGGCGACAGACAATTTTGCTGCACCCAGTAATTGCACTAGTGGTGGCAGTATGACTTGTGAATGTGCAGCAACTGTGAGTATTCATTTATCGATTGTGAAGGATGAGCTTTCAATAAGTTTTATTCCATTTGTAATCATTTTTATTTATTTTATTAGGCTGCAATAGCAGCTTGTCAACAACTTCTCACGCGTCTACAACCGGTGCGAGAAAAATTGGGGAATCCCACGTGGGAGGAACTCACTGCGACTGCGCACGCAGAAGATATTAATCTCTGCGTTCAAGTAATGTGAGTTTTCCCTTTCATTCATTCGTTTTTTTCGCAGTCTAGTGCGAGTGGGATTGATTCCCATGCATGACTTCCACTGATAACGCTTATTCATTGTAACGAGTGATAATTTACGAATGTTAATGATTAGGTCGTCATTCAATGCATCGAATCCCTATTCGATTTACGGTGTAACAGTCAGCGAAGTGGAGATCGATATATTAACAGGACAGCATCTTGTTCAGCGAGTGGATATTCTGCAGGATGTTGGCACCAGCATGAATCCTGATATTGACAGGGGCCAGGTGGAGGGTGCGATGGTCATGGGCATGGGATATTGGACCTCTGAGGATCTTATCTACGACCCAAATACTGGGATTCTAGCTAACAATCGAACTTGGGTATGAAACAATTAAGAAAAACCTTTGAATATCGTGAGAACAACTCAGTCTTCTTGAATTCAGAATTACAAACCACCTGGAGCCAAAGATATACCTGTCGATTTCCGCGTCACGATGAGGAAGACACTAAATCCTGTTGGCGTACTCGGCGCGAAAGGTAGAGTATTTCATGGATTTATCTGAATTTATTTATGATTCTTCTGTTTATTTGGATGGTGAAGGAGTTGGTGAACCACCTCTCAGTATGAGCTACTCCATCCTCCTGGCTATAAGACACGCCCTGAATTCAGCTCGAAAAGACGCAGGTGACAATGGCGCCTGGTATCAACTTGGTAAGTTAATTTATTCAATTTAAAAAAATTAAAAAATGAACAATTAAATCGTAACATCACATTAAATTTCACGTGCTCCTGCAGATGGACCAGCGACAACCGAAAAAATACTCCTGACGAGTCTCACCAGCAAAGACCAGATGATTCTATAGTCCAGGCACATCTGGAATTCTCAACTTATCACATGTTTTATCAAATAGAATATTGAATTCGAAGTTAATCAGTATTAATAATATAGTACAGATAATAGGGGAATGAATAAAAGTTCAATAACAGTTCAATGCCGATAATTTTGTAGTGAATTGAATAAAAGGATTTGATGTAATCAATTATCAATATTATCGATAGGATGAAATTCTCGGGGTATAGAACGTGGAAAAATCATGGCAATTGCAGTTTTGATTTGTCATTACAATTAAATCCCCACCTTTCAATAGTGTATGACCTTCATTCGAAATTCATTCGGTGGAGATCAGCTGAACACCAAGGGAAGGGGCACCGCTGGTAGTAGGGCAAATAATTTCGCTTCAGTCTTGCTAGTCTCTAAATTTTCTCGACGAGCGTGTATTACATGGAACGGCTTCCCTACCACAAAACTTAGGCGCAGACCGATTGCGACTTTCAGATTTAGTGGATGACAGAAACTTCAGACGACTGAGTGATAAGAATGGGTCAGGGCTCTTATACTTATGTGGGGTAAGTTTAATTGTGTTTTTTTTTAATCTTCCTGTTTTTTCGCTCTCCCATCATGCTTTTATCTGTCTGTAATTCGAAGGCCAAATTATTACTGAAATTATCGCGGGTCTAATTAATGGAACAGGGCAACGAGTTGCAGAAATACTTGAAGGCTGTCAGGTCAGATATAAAGTGAAAGTCCCGGTTGTCTTAATTTTCACATACAATGTATTTATTTTCTGTAACAATATTTTACCCGTGATAGCATACAAATGTCGTTTATCAGTGTTAAAGTTGCAACAATATCTCAAATATTCATTGGCTTATCGCTAGTTACTGGTTCATGCATGAAGTAATTAGGATTGCTGATATGAAACAAATTGAGGAACGTCGAAGAAACAATGTAGGTCTGTTTGTTTTTAAATAAATGGAGCGAAGGAAAAATTTTCGCAATATTTATGATCATTCGATTCTCTACACAAGTTTCCCAACTGTTTTTGTTTTTAATTGCAGAGGAACCCCCAAAGATACCGTAGAACTCAGTATCAATGGCGTTGTTTACACCGGTAAGGATCACGCATGAATAAATTAATTTGATAAACACTGTGGTGACTTGCAGAATATAGAACATGGAACTGATTAGTTCCTGTGGATGGAAGCGCTCGTTAGATTGCAATTACTTGTCGGTAGGCGGAAAAAATAGCCCACACACCCAAAACCTGTTAAAACCTACCCAATTTGATAGACCATAGGAAAATTAGAGCCCCTGAAAAAAATAGACAACGAAAAAAATAATTAAATTGAAAAATAATTAAATTGAGCGAGTTTTAACACGTTCTGAATGTGTGGGATATTTTCTCCCTGGGATATTTTTTCCGGGATTCTTACTTGTCACTCCCTCAGTGAATGATGCATCAAGTAAAATTGTAAAAATCAGTTGACGATAAGAGTATCGACTGATTACCGGACACTTTGAGTTTTTATGTGCTGTCAATGCATTAAAAAATACAAGATTATATTTTTCAGACCGACGCTTAATTTTTCTGTTTTTTTTATGAAATAATGGAATCAAAATATATGTTATATATTTTCTAGAGATTTAATGTATTGAAAATCCATAAAATTGAATTATACAGAGTGACTAATACATTTAATTCTATATAATAACTTAATATTCATATAGTCTATATTGCTATTAATATTTTTGTTATTATATTATTCATCATATATTAATTATATAAAATGAATTTATTACAATGATGAAATATTAGATAATGAACTTCAGTGAATTATGAATCTCGGTTTTAGTCAACGAAGAAGTGCCCCCTGAGACGTCGCTCAACGTCTTCATCAGGGATCACGCCCTTTTGCGGGGCACAAAATTCATGTGCCTCGAGGGTGGGTGTGGGGTTTGCATTGTAGCAGCTGAAATTCACGGAGAAACTCTGTCCGTTAATTCTTGCCTCGTACCTGTCCTTATTTGCAATGGGTGAGAATTAATCGTAAATATAACTGAACGGCTTACTTATTTCTCGAGAGAGAAATAACGATTATTGAGACGGTGGGGATACGGACGCCGCCATCTTGCGCTTCAATGCCCCAAGCGGTGGGGCAGATGGCGGCGGCCCACCTCGCGATTTTAGATATTTATTAGAATTATTTGGCTTTTCTAAATCACTTTTGAATTGGTCTATCTTGTTTGTCAGGAATGAAGTATTTTTTTAAGATATCTCGCAAGTAATCTCTTCTCTTTTTGGCTGAGAATTCATGAGACAAAAATTCATTCTCTTTTCAATATTTTTTTTCTACTGTCGGGGTCTTAGGAATAAAAATGTAATCTAGAAAATGGCAAATATGGAGAACTGACTTGAATAATTGATATTTAGATTTTTGAATTTTTAATTAGATGGAAGGTCAAGACTATCGAGGGCATCGGCGGTAGGAAACAGGGCTATCACAAAATTCAAGCGACACTTGCCGGTATGAATGGGTCTCAGTGCGGGTATTGCTCACCTGGAATGGTCATGAATATGTACAGGTATGATAACACAAAAAAAATCATCAACCGTGGAAAATAAATAAACAAGTCAGTAGAGATGAAATAGGGAAACAAAGATTTAATTACACAAATTTCCGTTACTAAAATCGTCTTTAGTTGAAATAATATCAAGGGCTTATCTTCTTAAATTAATGTGCTTGCTCATTAATTTATAGCTTAATGCAGGGCAGACAATTAACGATGAAAGAAATCGAGAATTCATTTGGAAGCAATATCTGTCGTTGCACCGGTTATCGTTCGATTCTAGAGGCTTTCAAAGGTCTAGGAAGTGACGCCGACCCCGCGATAATGCAGAAGATCCAAGACATCGAGGTATTCGCCAAATTCTAGATAAAAATTCAAGTGAAGAAAGATGCAACAAGTGAATCAGAAGACGAATAAAATTAATAGATCAATAATTATTACTCCTGGAGAATAAAAATTCTGTTTTCAGGAGTTGTACAAATTGAAAAATTGCCCGAAATCGGGAAAGCCGTGCACAGGTGTTTGCAAATCGTCAGAGGAACCATCAATCCTGGAGGAAATTAGTATGGAATTCGGGGACGTGAAATTTCAGAAAGTCCTGGATATTGATAGCTTGTTTGCAGCATTCACTAACAATCCAAAATCAACTTATATTCTTAACGGGGGCAACACAGCGCACGGTGATGAATCCATTTTTTGCGAAATCCTAGATAATTACTCAATTACAATCTTATCTACTGATTATTTGAATTATTCAGTAGTCTAAAGTATCTGTAATTAAAAAAAACATTTACATCAGTAATATATCATTATCCCTGAGATTGCAATAACAATATCAGGAAAAATGACAACATAATTTTTAACTTCATTAAAATTATCACTTCAGAATTTTGATTAAATCTAAAGACAAGAAAATTAAATATTCAACATTTTTAATGTACAAATGAATAAATAACATAATGAACGAATGAAACAATCAATTACGTAATGACAAAACAATTATTTCAGGAGTTTATCGGCTGCAAAAACCCCAGCTGTATATTGATCTCAATGATATCAGCGATCTTCGTAGGGTAGAGAAAACGGCGGACAGTCTGATTTTCGGTGGAAATGTCTCTTTAACAGTCATCAAGAACAGTTTTATCAAATATTGTGGGGAGCCAGGCTTCAATCATCTGAGACAAATGGCCGATCACGTGGATCTCATTGCCCACATTTCAGTGCGCAATGTGAGTTTGAAGAAATTATTCCCTCCACATTATTTTATTATTTAAAATAATAACAAGTATTGCCAAAAAATTACTGATTTCGATTAATTAATTCTTTTCATTATTTGCATTTATGCTTTTTCTTTGAGCTTCCCCTAGTAATTCTGCTATTGCGTTATTATTTAAAGTTGTTAAGTCATTTTTAATAATTGAATCAGTCGAGCTGTTAGAAATACGTGAATGTTTGTGGAGTGATGATAAATTATAGGAACAATTGTTGCAAAATTGCAGCTCGGTACATTGGCTGGGAACTTGATGATAAAACACCAGTACAATGAGTTCCCATCAGACATGTTCCTAATTCTGGAAACGGCTGGAGCTAAAATACACATACGTAACTATTATTCATTCCACCTAGATATGACTCTCATCAGTTCTCGAGTAATTACTCTATTTCAGTAATTGGAGTAATTACTCTATTCCCGTAATTCTGCTATAATTAACTCATTCCAAACGATTCATGAGTCATTACCTTTTTAATGTACGAATTTTTTCCTCGTAGTGGAATCTCCTGGAGAGAAGAAAGAAATTAATTTTATGGATTTCATCAAGATGGATATGAATCACAAGATTATTTACAGCGTCGTGGTGCCAGCATTGCAGTCTGAACAGGTGTATCGCTCTTATAAGGTAGTTAAAAAATTAAAACTCATTAAAAAAATAAATAAGAATCATTAATTCAGATCATGCCTTTCTTTTTCAATTTTCTCCCAATTGAGATGAAAATTCATCGCCAGTCTTCATTATTGAAAATCTTTGTTATTAAAAAATCGTTTAAACAGTAAGATATCAGAAAATTATTTTCCATTGAATTGAAAATAAAATTGATTGCTTGTAGATAATGCCGAGGGCGCAGAATGCTCACGCTTTAGTGAATGCTGGGTTTCTCTTCAAGCTTGATGCCTCTGGGCTAGTGCAGACCCAGCCCAATATAATATTTGGGGGTATCAGGCCCGAATTTGTAAGTCCCGGAATATTTATTACTAGTAACTGATCAATGAGAGATCATTCGGTAATTTTACTATGAATAATCTTGAATAATCTTCTCTAATTTCCATCGATTTTTATTAATTATCCACAGCTGCACGCAACTGCCACGGAAAAATATCTGACTGGCAAGCGAATACTAGACAAAAATGTGCTGAAACAAGCGCTAGAAACGCTGAATTCAGAGCTGAATCCTGATTCGGTCCTGCCTGATTACTCCCCAGAGTTCAGAAAAAATCTGGCGCAGGGATTGTTCTACAAGGTGAGAGAATTTATCTAAAACGTCTCATGTTAATTATTCTCAACAGATTGAACTGACGATAGTAAACAATCAATATGAGGCCAAGGCCATTGATGTATTCAATTATTATTGCAGTTTGTTCTGAGTTTAAAACCGGAAACAGTGGACGAGAAGTTGCGGAGCGGTGGAACTATTCTAGAACGTGACCTTTCCTCCGGAAGAGTGGATTATGAAACGGACAAATCACTTTGGCCGTACAATGAACCACTTCCGAAGACTGAATCTATCTATCAGACATCTGGAGAGGCAGAATACGTCAATGATATACCACCGCAGCCTCGGGAGGTCTTCTGTGCATTCGTTCACACTATTTTCGCCAGTGGAAAAATTAAAAATATCGATGCCTCAGAAGCTTTGGTAACTACTCCTATCGAATTATCTGTTAACATTGGATCGTTTATTAGAGATAAAAAAAACAGAAAGAATTCTATGATCGAAGGTCTCATCTGGGATTTTTAGTGTTGATTCCTCATTACTTAATTGATTGATTCATATTGATTAACAGGCGATGAAGGGCGTCGTAGCTTTCCTCACAGCCAAGGATGTCCCCGGAAAAAATCTCGCTATCGATTCCGCGAACAAGGACCCAATGAATCCCTCCGACGAAAAGGTCATCATCTGTTTAAAGACAATTTACATAATTTTCGATTGATTCCCACCCGAAAATTCCACTGATCAATAAGTGAATTATTTCAATTTTCATTTCATTCATACACTAATATTCAGTATTAAAAACTGTAAATGCTCAGCTCAGATATTAATTAAATAATATTTAATTAATTGATATTAATAAAGTAATCGAATGATCTATAGCTATTCGCTGACGGAGATGTCGAGTTCGCAGGACAGCCCATTGGTCTCATCTGCGCCGAGACGAATGCTCTAGCTCATGAAGCCGTGAAGAAGGTGAAGGTCACGTATACAGACTCCTTCAAGAAAAAGCCGATAATAACGAATCAAGACGCCATCGACTCCGGTGATAAAACTAGAATCAATGAAGTGGCGAACTTACCTGCTGACCGACAAGGTCCGTCATTACAATAACCACTTTCCATAATTCTCATGCTACAATCATAAAATAAATGTTGATAGGCCCGAATCCGGTTCAGAAGGTGATAAAAGGTACATTCAATTGTGGAGCACAGTATCATTTCACGATGGAGCCACAGACCTGCGTTTGCATCCCAACAGAGGATGGACTAGACGTTTATCCAGCCTCTCACTTCGTAGATCTCGTCCAGACTTCCATTGCTTCAGCCCTGGGAATCCCCAACAACAGGTGGATAAAACTGAAAGATTTATAAATAAATCCCACTGGAATTCCCCTAACCACTTGTCATTTATTAAATCATCAATCTTTCCACACAATTTATTTCAAGGATAATTCGGTCAATTTTCTTAATGTTGTAATCAAATAATTAAAACTATATTATACATAATATTGTTTTGAGAATAATGATCAGTGTTGATTCTTCAGCATCAACATCAAAGTAAGAAGACTTGGGGGTTCCTACGGTGCAAAACTATCCCGAAACACGTGGATCAGTTGCGGATGTGCCGTTGCAGCACGTGTCTTGAATCGTCCAGCTCGTCTAATCATGACCATCGAGAGTAACATGACAATAATAGGAAAAAGATTTCCAGTCAAGCATGACTACGAGATTGGCGTTGATGCTGATGGAGTGATTCAGTACCTCAAACAGGAGAGTTGGCACAACGCTGGGGCCTCATTCAACGATCCCATTGCCCAGCAGAGTATCATGCACTCTTTCTCGTGTTACGATAAGACGACGTGGACGTCTGTGGGAAATGAAGTTCATACTGATGTCCCTTCCAACACTTATTGCAGAGCCCCAGGTGAGTGCAGAACTCTTATAACATCCTGTGTTAGTGTCAAGAGAGAATAATTCAGTTCATCTTCTGTGAATTGAATTAGGATCCACTGAGGGAGTGGCGATGGCGGAGAATATGATGGAAAATATAGCAGAAGCACTTGGCAAGGATCCAGTGGAAATTCGCGTTAAAAATATGAATGAGACTGATAAAGTGCCTCTGACTGAAATGATTGAGGATATAAAACAAACGTCGGACTACACCGCTCGAGTGGAGGCTGTCAGAATGTTCAATAGAGTAAGAATATTTATTTATATTTCCACTGCATCTGTGAAAAAATGTATTATTTAATGATTTCTGAATATACCTGCAGTTTCTTCAAGATATTGTATCAAGATATCGTATTTAAAATTTAATTGGAATTTTATTAGAATTCTATTGAAAAGTTCAGAATGCGAATTTGGAAAATTCAATTAGCGTCTGGGTTTTTATTTATTCATGAAATCATTCTTTCGTTAGGAGAACAGATGGAAGAAGAGAGGCATCAGTCTAATGCCCATGAAGTATCCCCTGGAGATAGGAGGACCTTGGAATGCTCTGATATCGGTTTATCCGAGGGATGGAACGGTGGCTGTACTTCATGGAGGCATCGAAGTCGGTCAGGGAATAAACACTAAGGTCTCTCAGGTTGCAGCTCACACTCTGGGGATTGACCTTGACATGATAAATGTTAAACCCACGAATAATCTTGCAGCACCAAATAATTCTGTCACCGGGGGAAGCATCACGACGGAATGTGCAGCAAACGTAATTGTTTATTTAAACAAAATAAAAAAATTTAATAAATTTAAATTGAAAA